TGGATCTTACATAAAAATTATTTTGGGGAAACTGATAATTTTTCTACAGAATGACACAGATTTTTGAAATTTTTTTGAGTTTTCAGAAATACAGGAATACCGTAAAGCCCATATATCTCGGTTACTGTAGCAGACATCAAAAAGTAGTTAACTAACAAAGTATTGATGATATTATGATAAAAATTTTGTTAATTGAGCACTTTTTGATATATGTTACAAGAACCGAGATACAATGGCTCAAAGTTGGCGGTTTGGGTGGCCACCCTCTAATAGGGTGTTTACAGTATTTTGAAATTTTTCTCAGCAGGTTTCTGAGATTCTAGAAATGTTTCAGCTTTATAAATTTTCCAAAAATTTCAAATAGCGCTTTTTCGAAGTTTTTGAAAATTTTAGCGAATTGGAAAAATTCAAAATTTGCAGTTCTTGAAATTTTCAGGAATTGTATAATAAGATTCTGAACCTCCAGAATTCAGAAAAATTTAGAATTCGGATTTTTTTAATTTCCAAAATCTCCTTCCTTTAGTTTAAAATTCTACGAAAAACCAGCTTTCTAGCTTATCTGGAACTCGAGATGCAGCTATTTGAAGTTTAGGGAGGCTAGAGACGCAGACAACGAGCCACTCTAGCCCTCTGCGTCTCTTCAAAGCTTCAAGCCGCTGTATCTCGCGTTCTAGATGAGCTAGGAAGCTCGTTTTTGAACGAAATGATAGCTGAAAACCATTTAAATCTGGTGAACATAATTTCAGTTCTAGTTTTTTATTGAATTAAATTTTTTCTAAAACTTCGTTCTATAAAAATGGTATCCTTCATTTCAGCTTCTGATTCCTCATAAAATTAGTTTTCTAGCTTATCTAGGAGCCAATTTATAGCGATTTGAAGTTTAAGAGGATGGAGACGCAGACGGCGAGACACTCTAACTGTCTGCGTCTCTTCAAAACTTCAAACCGATGTATCTCGCGTTTTAGATTACCTAGAAAAGTCATTCTTTGTGGAAATGAAAGCTGGAAATCAGGAGAATCTTTCGATTTAAGAAATGTTAAAATTCCAAAATATCCTAATTTTGATAATTTTCCCAAAAATTGGCAATGAAACTTTCAGATGTTATCATTTTCTCTAGCTACATTTTCCACAAAAAACGAGTATTCTAGCTCATCTAGAAGCGGAGATACGGCTATTTGAAGTTTTGAAGAAACGCAGACAACGAGACACTCTAACTGTCTGCGTCTCAAGAAACTTGGTTTTCGGTTTTGATGAAAGCTAGGATTCTGGGAAATCTTATTAGCTAATTTTGAAAATTCTAGAAACTTCTGGACCTCAGAAAAAAAAGAGAAAACTAAATTAATATATTAGTCAGACACATATAGCGTACTCAAGTACATGACCAAGGGGCACTGGTCACCAATATATATTCTTCCTGAATTTTCGTCTCAAATTCCGTCTTCTTCTTCTTCTTTTCTCCAATTTCCGTCTTCTCCTCCTCCTACTTTTTTCTTCCCCAGAGTTTCACTTTTTTTTTCATCAGAAACCTCTCCCCGAATCAAAAAGTGAAAATTTAGGAGTGTGTAAAAAAAAGAGGATCCCTTTTTTTCGCTGTCTTCAGGCTTGAGCATCAGCAGCAGCCACAACGAAGACATATGTTCAATATCAATACACAGAGAGATAAGAGAGTGCGGATTTCGAGGAGGGTGGTTAGAGAAAAATGGGGGAAAAATCAGAGTGACCCCCGAGGTGCCGCCCTTTTCTTCCTGCTTTTCGGCGAAGACAATTTTTTTTTCTCATTTTATTTTGCTCCTAGGAGCCACCCACCACGGATTTTCTGGATTTTCTGATATTTCGGAATTCTGGAATTCTAGAATTCTTCAGAAGATGACGTTACCGAAATCATTGCTTCTGATTGTTGGATTTGTCGTTCAGGTGGGTTAGGCTTGGTCCCTGGCACGGGCCGGGACCGCCGGCAGAGGGTCATTAAGTGGTCCAGATGGTTTGGAAGGGATCAGAGATTTGGGTTTGCATAAAAAATTGAAAGATCTCAAATTTTCAGATAACATAGTTATATTGCTTCAGATTCTAGTCTTTCAGCTACCTGAATTCGTGGTTTTCTAATTGGAATGTTCCAAAAAACTAAAATTTTTCTAAATTATATTTTCCCAAACATCTGAAACAAAAACCTCTAAAAGAATATTATGTTCTTCAGTTGTCATTTCCACCAAAAAACGAGCCTAGGGCCATCTAGAAGCCGAGATACAGCGATTTGAAGTTTTGAAGAGACACAGACAACGAGACACTCTAAGTGTCTGCGTCTCTCCACTACTTCAAATGCGTGTATCTCGG